GGGGAGGGGAGAGAGGAATAAAAGGTGTGGACTGGGTCTGTGGGTTGATTGTGGTGGGGGCCTGTGTTCGGTTCAGGTTGTGTGAAGGGGAGGTGTCCTCGGGGGGGGGGCGGCTGTCGGGGTCGGGGTGCTGTAGGGTCCTCCATGGAGACAGGTTTAAACGCGAGTACAAAGCCCCAGCCTTTCTTCTGAAAAAGACGACGCAGAAGCGCGTCGATAAAAAACATTTGTGGCCTGCGTCGCCTACCGGATTCTGGCGGGTGCCCGTGGCCGATAGCTGGATGTACTTGCGTTTTAAGGGAGGGGTTGTGTTGCTCTACACTCCAGGTGTTGTTGATCCAGGGATCATGCCTGACTCCTGAGAGTTTTTTAAGACCAGGGAGAGCCTAGTGCAAGGAAGATGAGCAGTAGCGAACTTCAGCAATCAAACAGCATCATACACATAAGACCAGATAGTCGTGACCTCGAACCAAAAGCAGAATTGCATCACAAGTTTCACCAAATAAGAGCACACCAAAAGCTCATAATTGACAATGCTGGAATAGTCTCATCATCATCATCAACGAAGAACCAATGTTGATATCCTATCTGGCGCTCAGCGCCCAGACTACAGATGGCAGATCCTATCTAGCCTACTCTACAATGCTGCTGATGACGTCAACAGCTCCCCGAAGTACGAGCAAATCTCGGCCAATGCCGCACGCTTCAAGCACCAGGTATGTCTCTTGTATCACTCACAACCTCGTTCCCCAACTCACAGATGCCACTTGCACCCAAGGACAACCATGCGCCCCATCCAGCATACAGCAGCGCAGCTCGGCTATGGCTGCCTGCTCCTTCCAGCTCGCCCGTGAGCGCGTGAGCCTGGCAGGCGATAGCGCAGCAGCGCTTGCGCACAAAGCAGCCAGTGCCCGAATGCCCAATGCGTAGGCAGGCCCTTCTCTATATTGAAGTGGCCTGCTGCTGCTTGCAGTAATGCGGATCGCCCTGGTCCAGAAGCTTCCGGTAGGCCCCACGAGGCTGAGCCTCAGTCCGGAGTAAACAGGCTGTGGTGGTTACCAGCACCCAACTGCCCTCAGCCTTTGTTCGGTCCATTTTGTGTATCCGACCCAGGGCCTGCCTCAGTTGCATGCAATGAAAGGCAGCCTGGGCCTGGGCGCTTCCAACCAACTGGCGCTGCGCAACTGTTTCCCCAGTTGCGTGGTGACCCCAAAATGGTCTGGGGGCCTTGGTTGTGCCTGCCTTCACTTAGGGCGGCAGACTGAGAGGAAAATAGGCTCTGTAAGGCAAATTGAGGGCCTGTGCCTCGCACTAGTCTGTTCCTCTGGTGGAGGTGGAACTGGCACCATTGCACCTCTGGGTGCAACGGACACTATTGTGTCGCCAGATACAGGCAGAAAGAAGCGTTCGAGTGGTTCCATCTCCATAGGTGCTCGACTTTCAGCCACGGACGGATTCGAACTGAGCTGAAACCACCAGTTTACACGAGCCTACGTTGACCAAGCTACCTTCCTTCCAAGGATGACACACATAAATTAAAAAAGGGTAAAAACCGTAAAAAAAAAAAAAAAAAAAAAAAAAAAAAAAGAGGAGGAGAAGAGGAGGAAAAAGGAATCCAGCGGCCTAGCTCAGTTGGTAAGGCACGCACGTGGTATTCAAGAGGTCTTGGGTTCAATCCCCGTTGACCTCATGTACCTTCCTGGGCAAGCTTGGCGCCCGCCACATAGAGAAAGGCCGTTGGCCCCCCCGAGTGGCACTGAGCAGAGACTGCTCATGTTCATAGGGGCAGGGGACATGAGGGGAGGCACAGTGACTGGCCCATCGAAGAAGCTCGGTCCTGATGCTACCGGCTGACCCCTGGCCGGCATCCCCCACCTGCTGTAGCAGGTATCGCACCTGCTGCCGTGGGCTGTGCCCAGGCAGTGGACTGCTAGTGCAGAGAGCGACTATTCAGTACCAGGGGCCATCACATGGGCACTGGGGTGTAGCAGGGAGCGACTATTCATTACCAGGTATCATCACATGGGCACTGGGGTGTGCAGCCCTCGGCCGTGCGCGGGCGGCTCCGCAACCCCTCCCTCCTGCCAATACCATTCCGCCACCTCCAACCCCTAACTCTTCCTCCTCCTCCCCTGTCACCACCTCCGCCTCCACATGCCCATGCTCCTAATCAGCAGTCGGGACATGGCGGGAATGCTGCAGGCAGTAGGAATGGACCATGATCTGCAAACGCGTTCCCAGGCCCGGGCAGCCGGGCGTATTTCACTAAGAAATATATATGGATATTCTGGAAGGCATTAAGATGAATAAAGCTGTGGACAAAGCCGAGAAGAGGATTGGAGTGGCTCACAGGAGCAGCGTGAAGATTGTCGACCTTCCTGTTGAGAACAGCCATTCGGAACGAAGATCAAACGATAAACAAGATGAGATGAAGGCCTGGGTGACAGCGACCCTTGGGGACTCTCTGAAGCCGATCACCGACAAGCTCGAAGAAGTGGATAAAAAGACAAAAATCGCTGTTGCAGTCTTGCAGAGAAGGAGGACCTGGTGAAATTGAGGAAG